CTCAGTTTCTCCATCTGAAAAATGGTAACACTAATATCACTCATTTCACAGGGCTGTTGTGCTCAATGGACTATGATTTACTCCCAGCTAATGGCCCCATCTTATTCATGTTACTACAGTATTTCTAGTGGTTCCCATATCCCTGCTTCCTGCCAGGAAAGAGGAAAAAGGGAATTTGCCTGTAGCATTTACTGTGTCAGCTGGGCACTCAGCATGATTTGGCTGAACATGGAATTCCAAATTCCCAATTTCAAATGGGAATTTACAGTGGTGGTCTGTAAAAGTTATGACATCCTGTTGCAGCAGGTTTCTTTCCCTTCCTTCCCTCTCTCCCTCCCTTCTTCCTTCCTTCCTTCCTTTACAGAGTTTTGCTCTTGCCACCCAGGCTGGAGTGCAATGGTGCAATCTCAGCCCATGGCAACCTCCACCTCCCAGGTTCAAGCAATTCTCCTGCCTCAGCCTCCCAAGTAGCTGGGATTACAGGCATGTGCCAACACGCCAAGCTAAGTTTTGTATTTTTAGTAGAGACAGGGTTTCACCATGTTGGTCAGACTGGTCTCTGTCTCCTTACCTCAGGTGATCCACCCACCTCGGCCTCCCAAAGCGCTGGCATTACAGGAGTGAGCCACTGCGTCTGGCTGCAGTTTTCATTCTATTGGAAGGCTTTCATCCAAGATGCAGGCAATTCCAAATATTCCAGCTATCCAAAGCCATTGAGCATGCTGCCAGGGGCCCCTCAGCCCAGAGACCCAAATTAGGGATGCTGGTGCTGCTGCTGCAGGATGAACCCGCAACATGAATTTCCCTCTCATTCTCGCAGCTTCTCTAAGCAGTTCACACGATTGCTCCTTGGGAGTCCAGGGCTTCTAAAGTTGCCCAACCGGAATGGGAAGAAACACGCCCTGAAGCCCTGGTGTGGCTAACTCTGCCCCTCCCAATCCCTGTGGGCAGGGCTGGCAGCACCGTGGGAATGTCCCACTTGTCAGCGCCTGAACCCGACAAGGGTCTAGCCCTTTGAGCCCCACACCCAAGTAAACCAAAGCCCAGGACTGAGGGTGCAGTTACCCTGGATCTCATTTGGGCTGAATCAGCAGAAAAGGGGTTCCAGGACGGGAAAGGAAGAGCAGATGGGAGGAGAAAGAGGTATTTATTAGTTACCACGTGGCTCCCACGACCCAGACCCAGCTTCCCAGGGACAAAAGCCCAGAAATGAGCACTTTGCCAGGCTGTGGGCTGTTTCCCAAGGGCAGCCCCAACAGCTGTGCGTAGGGCAGAATAGGGAGCGCAGAAGTCCGCCATAAGAGACCAGCTCAGGAGAAGTTGATAGCATAGGAGGAGTTGCTGGTTCCCGGGAATTAAGCAGGGCAGGGAATCGCGGAGGATGCGTTTATCTCACCTATGGTTCCCACCTATTGTGGAGGCTCCCTCAACACTGTTCTGAGCCTCCTTCCTGCTTCATGTGGTCAACCAGATTCTTCTCTTTGTCCAGCCCAAAGCTTCATCCGCAGCCAATCGGAGCCACGGAAACTCAACGCCATTTACCCTCCCCTTCTACAAATATTTGTGGAGTGTCTGCCACGTGCCTGGTGCCAAGGAGACAGACATTACTCTTTCCCTCTACAGGCTTACAATCTGGCGGGAGAGGAACAAGTATGGGGACAGTGCAGGGACACCGCGGAAAAAAAGACAAATACTGAGTTATAAGTGTTGTAATAGGGGGCAGTAACAAGACGTTGTGGGAATACACGAAATAAAACAAGGAGGCCAAATCGCGAGGGTTTGTGGGTTTCACAGGGAACATCTGACAGCAAACATTCCAGGGTACGACGGAGAGGTGGTGAGGAGAGATGATGGCATTGAATTGGCGAGATGAGCTGAGATGAACTGCGAAGAGGACGAGGAAAAGCTAGTGCCCTGGAGATTGGGGGAGACGAGGGGATCCACCGGGCTGGGAGGGTAAGGGTGGTGTAGAAGGGAGGCAGCGAGAGCAAGGCAGACGCCGGAGGCCAGGGCGGAAGGGAGGCGCATGGACGACACCGGGAGCTCTGGAAAGTTGTCAGAGGCGGCGAGGGGGTGGGGAGCGGGCCCTACACGTGCGCTACGTGCAGCGCCGGCCGCTGGGGAGCCCGGCCTGCCCCCCTCATCCCCGAACCGGTCCCAGGGCGGTTGCACGGCTCCAGGGGGAGGGAAAGGAGGATGTCCCCCCAAGTTTGCAATCCGGGAGCGTGGTCTCCCCAGCGCGGCTACCGGAAGGAAGACGGGAGCGCCTCATCACCAGGCGGGTGGATCTAGGGGAGGAGGCTGCTGATCTGGGGGCGCAGGCTGGGGAGTGGGGTGCAGCCGGTTGGGGACGTGAGGTGTGGGAGCTGGATGGACAGGATGAGGATGGAGACACCTAGGGATGTGTCCAGAGAATCTGGTGCTGCACATATGGGGGCGGTTTGGGGGACGGAGGCCCGGGCGGGGGCGGAGTGTTGTCCTAGAGTAAGGAGGGGGTTCCTGGAGACGTGGCACTCGGAGCAGGGCTGGGTTCCGCTCCGGCCGCCTGGGCTGCAGCCCTGCTTTGCCCTGGGAACCCGAACCTGACCCCGCCCAGGCCTCGCTCCCAGCACTCTGGGAGCTCCGGCCCGGCACCTCCAGGCTGGGGTTGCCCAGGTCCGGCCTCTGGGGTGTCCAGCCTGCCCCAGACTAGACAATGCGGCCCCGGCCCCGCCCCCGGAGGCTGACGCTCCCGACCGCCGGCCAATCAGCGCGCGTGGCTAGGCTCTTTAAAAAAAGAAGGGCCGGCGCGGTGTGGCTGTCAGCTGGGCGGGATCCCTCCGCCCATGTAAACATCATAAAGGGCATGGGGAGCGTCTGCTGCGGGCGGGGGAGCGGCTGCCTTCCCGGAGAGTCTTCTCGGTCCCTAGGTCTCCCTCTAGACGCCGGCAACCGCCCCCTCCCTTAACGTCACACCGGGTCCGTTGGGAGCCAAACAGCTTCGGCCTGATCTGGGAGCAATAGAATCTCATCATTTAGGGTGACTACCGGAAATGGAGGAAGCCGGAGTGGGAGACCTTGAGAGTTAGGAGCGAGAGGGAATCGTAGGACGCAGCTGATAATTGGGAAAGATTTTCTTAGGCTTGTTCTTCCCATGTACCTCGGTTAAATAATAGTCATAACTCATATGTGTCTAGAATTTTTCTCAAAGTTATGCCTACCTGGCTTTTAGGATACCAACGTTAAGGGTGAAAGTAGTCAACGCTTTCCCGAGAGAGCACATCACAAGACATAATCTTCATGAAGACCCGCAGAGGCACAGAATGCCCACCAAAGAGCCATCTTCTACCCAACTTTTTATTTGGAATTATCAAATCTTCAGTAAAGTTAAATTTGCAGCAAAATCCTCTATACCCACTACCTAGATTGCATTATAACTTGCCACATTGCATATCTATCTTGCACTGATAATTCTAATAGTGTGCTAGCTGTCCCCTGAGCTTGATTCTCCATTATCATGGGGAACAAGAAAGGCTCCAGGTCCCAAAGCCCTGGAGAGCTAAGGACTACGTTTTCCCAGGACCACTGTGAACTCTTTCCGGGCCAGGTATCTCTGGGGAAAAAGTTTGTTGAAGGGGAGGCGGTTTTCCTTTCTCCCGCATGCCCTTCCCCTTTTTAATTGAAGACTTCTTAAGGATGAGATTTCCTTCTACTAGGTGAATCTGAAAGCAGAACTAAGATCTTGACAAACAGACCTTGCATAGGTTTGGCTGCTTTCTGGATGAAAGAGGTCGTGTCAATGTTGATGTTCTACTGTTTGAGCTTCCTCTCTCTTCTTTTCTGAGGCTGGACACCCCCCACTCATCCACGACCCCCGCCAAAAAAAAAGGCGCCTCAAAAGTGTTCATATCTCTTGAAGTTCGTTCGTTAACCTCTCTTTGCCTCCGTTGCCTGCTCTGCAAAATGAGGGTAATATCGTACCGACTCAATATGGGGGTTGTGAGGACTCAGGACAGTGCTTTACACACAGCATTAAACAGCGGCTATCACCCGTGTGCAAATAGCTCCCAGATTTATATCTCCAATTCTGATCTCGCCCCTTCAAATTTATACCCTTCAGCCCGTTGAAGGATGCTGTATGTATCAGAGACACCTCAAACACAACATGTCCAGAAATGAACACAGTATCTTTTTCCCTTGAATAACTCGCCTTGTGTAAATAATTGGGTTGAATGTCTCAGCAATGCCATCAAGCTAGCTTCTACTCAGGCAGGTACGTCAGACACCTGAATCTTAATACCTCATCTTCCCTCCTCAATCTGTCACTAGGTCCTAATTTTATTTCCTACCTTTCCATCCCTTGCTCATAATCATCAGCACCACTGCCTTAATTTAGGTCCTATAATTTCTTGTCTGGATTATTTCAAGACTCTTTTGCCCCTCTCAAGTCTGACCTTGTCATAGATTGTGGAGGACTGTTTTCCCTGCAACATATCCACCTCCCAATAAATAGTCTCCATCACTTATTAGCCATACGCACTTTGGCAAATTGCTTAATCTACCTATGCCTCACTTTCCTTATTTGTAAATTGGAAATAAGGGTACCTACCTCATAGGGTTGTGTGATTAATCATGCAACAGAACAGTGCCTAGGATACGAAAGTGCTGAAAAGTGTTACATTATCATTATAATTACTATTATTGCCTTCTCACGAACATACTGTTTGTATGTTAAGCTGTTATCTCTACTGGAAAATTCTTCTCCATTTCTAATACTCTTTCCAAAACCCCCTCCTGGGTTTTACTGCACCCACCACTGTGTACTGACATGATTGAGTGATTGGCTTATGGGACTGAGCCTTTCTACCAGACTTAACTTCTTCAGGGCCGGAACTCTGATACGTAGTAAGTGGTCAATAAAAGTTGGCTCAACTGAAACCCTAAGGATAAACTCCAGCCACCGCGAAAGGCGCGGCCCCGCCCGATTCTGGGGCGGGGGGGGGGAGCCCTGCGCGGAGGGTGGGCGGGTGGGGGTGGGGTGGGACTCTTTTTCCTCGCCGTGGCGGCGGAGGCGCACGGCGTGGGCTTGCGGCGAGACGTCGTCGTCGGAGGCTGAAAAAGCCCAAGGTGCTGCCGTTGCCCGTACAACTCGGACTTGCTGTCGCCCGAGCTGCGTCTGCACGGGTCTCGGACCGAGCGGAGCCCGCAGCCTCGGTCCCAGAGCCCACCCTGCTCTCGGTCCTGCCCAGCCTGCGGTGATGGAGCCGGCCACCGCGCTGCACCCGGGCCCGCGCCCGGCGCTGCCCCTCGGGGGCCCGGGCCCGCTGGGCGAGTTCTTGCCTCCCCCCGAGTGCCCAGTCTTCGAGCCCAGCTGGGAAGAGTTCGCGGACCCCTTCGCTTTCATCCACAAGATCCGGCCCATAGCCGAGCAGACTGGGATCTGTAAGGTGCGGCCGCCGCCGGTGAGTCACGCCAGCACCCCGGATCCAGCTCGCGGCTGGGGGAGGGAGCAGGGACGCGCGGGGCCCGGGAGGCCCAAGGCGCGGGGGGTGGGGGAGCCGGTCGCCCCGCCGGCCTGGTCAAGTTTGGGGCTGCTTAGAAGGTCGCATTTGAGGCTGGGGGTGGAAGACCGGGGCTTTTCCAGGGTCAGAGATGAGGAGCGTGGGAGAACCAGGGGCTTCGGCGGTGCCACTGGAGGGCCGGGTAGCCGCGGGGCTCTGGCGGCCGGGAGCGCGGCCGGGGCTGGGGATTCGGGTTCGGTTCCGGATGGAGTGATGGCAGGAGCCGGGGGTGGTGGCGGGGGAGTTCCCTCACGGAGCTCGGCGGAGGCGCGGGCTGGAGGGGAGGACTGTGGGCCCGGCGAGGCTCGGCAGGCTGGTCCTCGCCTCCGCTCCCGGGGTGCGGGGGTGTGTGATGGGGTGGGGGTGGGGGTGGGGGACTTGCGAGTTGTCGTGCGAGGAGGAAAGTTTTCAATATGGCGGCGGGAGCCCCTGGTCCTTTGTGTGGTGGCGGCGTCGGCCCGGAGCGGCCCTCACCTGGGCGCCCCACCCTCCAGACCAGGGCACCCCTCCACCGCCTGGTCTCTGGGCCTCCAGGTGTCCCCCGGGCCGGGGTCAAGAAGGGGGCGGCCATCGCTGGCTGGGGGCGGGGAGAAGCCGCGGGTCTGGCCCCGGAGCGGATGTGTTGTGGGGGGCATTAGTGTCTGGGGGACACTTTTGGGGCGGCGGTGGACCCCGATGCCCGCCCGCGCTCCGGAACGCGCACACACCCAGCTTCTTCTGGCCCAGCCGCTGGGCTCCCCGGGGAGGCCTGGGCTGTGCTGGTGGGGACGGGGTCGGGGCGAGGCCGTGTTTGTAGGGGAATGTCAGACGAAGAGACCTCCGAAGATTTCGTGCTCGTTTCCCCCGGCCCTCAGCCTCCTGGCGCTGAAAGGCAGTCACCCACCGCAGCCCTTCCAGCCCTGTCTGCAGCGACTCGGACCTGGGGGCAGTGAGTGAGGGGTGGGTGTTGCTGAAACCATCCCTAACGGCTCCAACGTTCGCTGAGGAGAGCCCGGCCAACTCCTTCCCCCGTGGCCGGAACTGGGTGCGCTCCTACACCTCTGGGTTTTGCCCACCTTTCGGGATGGTCTGAGTCCGAGTTGGCCTAAGCGGCGGTTGGACGGGCTGGGGCCGTTGGGAAGGGGGTTTAACTGCCTTTCCTACTGTTTCAGAATCTTCTCCCCACTCTCCTCCCCCCGCCCCCCTCTCCTAAGTGGAGGAAGACCCCCTCCCATCCCTTTCTCCCTTAAGCATGCTCTTTGTAATGACATTCTGAGTTGTAGGGATTCTGTTTGTAATCGTTATGTTTTGGGAAGCTGTTTTCAAGGGAGATCCCTGAAAATAAGGCTTCTTATCCCAACCCTTCCCCACCCCAAATTAAAACATGGACACCTACTTTAGTTTTTCTTAAGCAAGTTTGAAAATGGAGGTGAAATATATGCTTCAGAAAATAACTGGCCAGGGAATATGAGGGAAATATTTGAAAATAGATCAATTTCTTACAGTGAAGTAGGCAAGGCTGATTCTTGCTGCTTGCGGGAAGTACGTTTTTTTAGTGTAAAGAGGCCTGCAGAAGTTTTAACAGGGCGGGTTGGAGCTAAGGTTTTAATTCTTGAGTAATAGGTCATGTTTCACACAGTAGCAATGTTGCTTTATGTCACATGCTAGGAAGGGTGAACATGAATATTGCACATTTGCATTAATGGGATTTTATTCAGAATTTGGGTAACTTGACTAAGTTCTTAGTAACCAAAATGAGGGGAGTCAGGTTCCTGGGAGGTGTCCTCCATGTTGGTATTGTGGTGTACCAGGGCTGGGGTAAATCCTTTATCTTGCTTTCTTGTTCTTTGCCTTTTAGAGTGCCCTTTTCCTGAAAAGATAGTATTGCTCTGGTTAGGCTTGGCTACCCATTTCCTCATCTTGGCTAGAATATTAATGGTAATCTTTGCAAAACGTGAATTGCCTTTTTCCCACTCTGAATGTCAGACAGACATGATGGCCACCATTTTGTATTGAGAGTACTACATAGTACAGCCTGAGGAAAGGGGTTAAAGAGGCACCAATAATCTGCAAATACAACCAGTGCTCTGTTTTGGAGACCTCCTTTGTGTGGAGGGGGCTTGCTTCCTCCTTTGTTTAACAAACTCCTATGCCAAATGGAAAGAGTTTGGGAGTATTTGTTGTTGATAAAACCACAAAAAGGGAAATCTTTCCAGAAGTTGTGCTCTTGAAGAGGGGTCTTGTTGGAACAAAGGCTTCTTAAGAGATGTAAACAGTCTTTGTTTTAGAAACTGTTTTGTTTTTAGGAAAGCTAACTGTGAACAAGTGGTTTCATATAGTTGATATATAGCAACAAAAAAAAGATATGAAATATTTTCCATGATGATAGCTGTATAATGTCTGCATTTCTGGAGGATTTTTGTTAACTGAGTTTTTGGAACACAAATGGTATATTAAAAGGGGAATTGGGACTATTGGTATTTTACTTGTTAGAAGGTAAGGGGAAGTATAAAACATTTCTGTCTCCTTTTGTTCTTACCTTTGTAGCTTTACTAGTGTTACTTAGTATAGCTTCAGTTTATAGCTGCTTTCCCAGTGAGGCTCCCAAACTGCTTTGCTTCTGAAAACTTAGGGTGCTTACATTATTTCGTACGTGACAGCTTAGGGATTTTCAGAAATTTGAAAATATAGTAAGCTAAATGTGAGAAAACGTAATTAAGTCAAGAAGACTGTACTTCAACTCTGAGTTTGAAGTTTAATACAAACCTTTGTTTTAATAAATTATATCAACTATGTAGGATAGCTAGGCTTGTTTTCTGGACTGAGACCTTCTTAAATTTACAACTAATCTGGCTTCTGGTTTTGTCACCTTTAAAATGCAAATTTTAATTTCTTCCTCAATACTGTACTTAAGATGTCTGTTTAAGGACAAATGATATTTTCCATATCACTTTGCGTTATTTGGAGATGAATAATTTTAAATGTGTAACTGTTAGGCAGAAAAATAGTTGGCTGCTCAGTAAATACTTTGTCTCTCAAATTTTGATAGGAATATGACTTTATCTTGCTTTCAAATGTCTAACATTTGGCCATAGATTTCACAGATTTTTTCATTATGTCCAGAAAAGGTTTAAATCAAACCCCAGAGGGCACAAGAGACAAAAATTTTTCAGCTTTAACTTCTTGTAGTTACCAGTTTGATTCCTTCATCTTTATAGCTAAGTAAAAAACTGCCCTTAAATGTTTCAATACCGTCAGCATCTTTGAGTGAGCCTATTGATTCCATTCCTACAGAAGAGGGAGGAAGTTACTTCTTTGTACTATAGAAGTGTTAATGATACAGAGCTCATTTACTCCCATTCCAGCATATCATTCTCCCCAACTTTGGGTTTGATTGACTTAGGCCTAACCCTCTCTCTGTGTTTTCCCAATTTCGTTGGTGTCATGAAATCTTTCGCTAGTTGTGGTATCTTTGGCTACTTTAAAGCTTTAACGTTTGGAGAAAAGGCTTAGTAGAAACATCCTTGAGCAAAGGAAGAACTTATCACTCCTTAAAAAAAATCACTTTGAAATATAATTCATATACTGTACAATTCACCAATTTATGATGTGCAATTTAGTGTTTTTTGATATTTTCACAGAGTCACACAGCCATCTCCACAATCAACTATAGAACATTTTCATCTCCCTCAAAAGAAACCCTGAACTCACTTGTAAATACTTTTTAAGGCAAATTTAGGACTATACTGTCCAGGAGAAAAACTTGGTAGGAGGTTGGATTAAGTCCTGCAGTTCCAGGTCACAAACATCTACCTTAATCAAAGCAAAAACAAACTTTATTTGTTGTAGTTATTGAATGGGTGTTTAGCTAATTTGACTTTGCCAGTGGTAAATTGGGCACATCAGTAGCCACAAATGTATCTACCCAGATATAATTCTTAGTGAACTAATCAACAAAACTTGTAGACTTTAAAAATGGAACGTGAATGATATTGCAAATATATGAGTTGGCAAAAGATTCGAGTCCCCTATCCTATCCCTACTGGAAAAAGATCCTTCCCTTCCTATGATTATAGGATATGGTTTTAAACAGGCAATCTAAACTTTTTTTTTTTTTTGAGACAGAGTCTCACTCTGTTGCCCAGGCTAGACTGCAGTGGCTCAATCTTGGCTCACTGAAACCTCTGCCTCCTAGGTTCAGGCAATTCTTCTGCCTAGCCTCCCAAGTAGCTGGGACTACAGGCACGTGCCACCACGCCTAGCTAATTTTTTTTTTTTTTTTTTTGGTGGAGATGGGGTTTTACCATCTTGGCCAGGCTGGTCTTGAACTCCTGACCTCGTGATCCGCCTGCATCGGCCTCCCAAAGTGCTGGGATTACAGGTGTGAGCCACCAAGCCTGGCCCAATCTAAACTTTTGAAAGAGGGAAATGAATAGAGAATTACCTTTGAAAAACATTAATAAATGTTATCTATTAAAAGCCAGGGCTTGAAATTTCCTTTTTTAAAAAAAATTCACTCTGTCACCAGGCTGGCATGCAGTGTTGCAATCAAGGCTCGCTGTAGCTTCCACTTCTTAGGCCCAAGTGCTCCTCCCTCCTTAACCTCCAAAAATTTTTAAATTTTTTGTCGGGATGGGGTTCCTCACTATGTTGTTCAGGCTGGACTGGAATTCCTGGCTTCAAGCAGTTCTCCCGCTTTGGCCTCCCAAATTGTTGGTATTACAGGCACAAGCCAGCACACCTGGTCTGAATTCTTTTGTTGAGATAATGAGAAAAATTAAAGAAAATAATTAACCCCTGATGTTATTCTTTATGTTTCTAGGGTAATTTTCTTTATGACCTGTTGGGCTTAGCCTTGGAGTATTAGAGTATTTCAGGTTGATAGATTAGTGAAAAATGGTATTATTGGTTTACATTTATAA